GAAATGATAGGTGTGTATGCATGCATGTCCATATACCTCATAATTTTTATGTAGATGACATAATTATCTAAAAACTAAGTCTGTTTCTATGGCTTATACACATCCAGGACAGGCTTGGGAGAGAGCTTAGTCCAAAAAGTGCTGTGTAGCAAGGATGAGGACCGAGTTTGATTCCCACACCTCAAAGCAAAAGGAGTGCATATTGGTGCACAATTTAGTGTGTACATCTGCCTGCACCATCCCTGCATTCTCAATGTAGCCTCCATGTGGACTGTAAGTTTGCAGATGTCCACACAGCTAAGCAGCATGGGCTAGACACCCAAGACTCTCCTCAGGACCAGGTGATGTGACCAAGATCAAGCTGCTCAACAATAGGCAATGGATGCTAACTGTGCTGGCTAGTTTTATGTCAACTTAACACAAGATCTAGTCATCAGAGAGGAGGGAGGATCAATTGAAGAAATTCCTTCATAAGACCTGGCTGTACTCAATCAAGCCTGTAGGGCATTTTCTTAATTACTGATTGCTGGGGAGGGCCCAGCCCATTATGGGTTGCATTACCCCTTGGATGGTGGTTCTGGATTCTATAAGAAAGTATGCTGAGCAAGCTACATGGAGCAGGCCAGTGAGCAGCACCCCTCCATGGCCTCTGCCTCCAGGTTTCTGCCCTGCTTCAGTTCCTGTCCTGACTTCCTCTAATGATGAATGGGGACATAGAAGGGTAAGACAAATAAGCCCTTTTCTCCCCAGTTTGCTCTGGGGTGTGGCGTTCCATCACAGGAATGGTACCCTAACAAGTCACTGACTCATCACTGGTTTTCCCTGCTATTCTGTTTATTAGTCTGTCATGTGGGATATTCATTCCTAGTGCATGAAGTGATAGGAACAGCTAGAAAATGTAGACTACCCAGATAAGGAAACACAGCAAAGCACAGGTGGAACTGTGAGCAAAGAGTTGCTTCTATCTTCTCACAGATTAATGAAGAAATGACAGTAACCATTCTTCTACCAAATCTGTACCGATGGAAATAATTCTTTCATAATTAAAGGGGCAATGGTTAATGTCACATGTGCCAAAATTTGTTATGTGTGACCTCCCAACTTAACTCTTGGGAATTACTGAGTACAGAATAAAGCTCACTGTGGCAGAAACCATAATCAGCAAAGGTTTTATAATAATAAAACTGACCAGCAAATTAAACCTCTGAGGAAAAAAAATATGTGAAAAGAATTGATTTAGATTGTAAAAAATCAGGGAAGTAAAAATGGAAACTATTGGAGACCATTTAATTATCCTTCAGGGAGATTTGAACAAGAAAGCCAACTGGGAAATAGAATTTTCTCTGAAAACACATTTTCAGTGCACATCACTAGGCACAAGTCTAGCTCTTATTCAAATATTTAAATTTGAAATGGGAAGCAGAAGAGAGGAATGGAGGAAGAGGGGATTTGGAATGGAGTTCTTGGGACCTGGTGCACACAGAGCAGGTTCTGCTGCACTGTTGGCCAAGCTTTGTACACATGGTTAGGTGCTTTAGAGTGGAGAACGTAGAAGCTGATGCTGCCTTAGCCTGCCTAGTCCCAGAAAGTCCATCCAGGAACACCTTCATCTCAATCACATTTTAATGTTTCTAATCCAGAAAGAACAGAGCAGAACAAAACTGTCACCAAGATTCCCACCCTTAAAAGCAGAGTCCCCCTGACACATACTGCCCTTCAGAACACACATGTGTTCATGCTAAGCAAGCACCCTCCCACAGAGCTGTGTCTCCAGGCCTCTGTGCTTTTTATTTTGAGACAGAATCTCACTAAAGTGCCCAGACTGAGAGTGAACTCACTCCTGCTCAGGAACTTGTCATTTTTCTTGACCTCAGGACTGGCTAAGATTTCAGGACCTCACAACCATGCATGGTTAAATCACCGTTTTGTTTTCAGTATATTTTTTTGTTTGGTTGTGAAGGGATATCGCATGAGTGTGTGTATTTGATATGCATGGGACTATGCACATGTGTAGGCACGGGTATAAATGTAAGGCTATGTACATCTGTGTTCACATATGTGAAGACCAGATGTTGAAGTCGGGTTTCTTTATTTTTTATTACTCTCCACCTTAAATTGAGGTAATGCCTCTCTCCTGAACTCAGCATTCAATGATTTGGCTAATCTACCTAGTCATTTTGCTGTAAGGATCCCTTGTCTCTGCAGCCCAAGTTCTGGGATTACCCACAGCCACCATACGTGCCCAGCTTTATGAGGGCTCTGGAGACCCAGCTTCTGGTCCTCATGCTTGCCTTCCAGGTGCTTTAGCTGCTGTCTTAGTTGGTGGTCTACCGCTGTGGAAAGAGAGCAGGAGCACAGCTACTATTTAAAAAGGAAACATTTCATCAGCCTTGCTTACAGTTTTAGAGCTTTAGTCCATTTTCATAATGGCAAGAAGCATCATGGCACACAGGCAGCCACTGGAGAAGTAGCTGAGAGTTCTGCATTCAAATCCACAGGGAGCAAAAAAGAGAAAGTCTGGCTGAAAAACCTCAAACCCACCTCCAGTGACACACTTCCTTCAATAAGGCCATACATCCTAATCCTTTCAAATAGATCTACTGGATGGTGAGCAAGCATTCAAATCTATGAGCGTATGGGAGCCATTCTCATTCAAACCACCACAGCCATGGAACCATCTTCCCAGCTCCTGAACCATCTCATTATACTTTTTCAATGCACAGAAAGAAGGTGTCTGCAACTTTTTCCTTACCAAAGTTAAAGAAAATTATTTGAAACCAGCTTGACCTAATTCATTGCATTTCAAGGCTGTGTGTTTCCTCTCTGAATGTTTAACCTGCACCAATGTAACATTAAATCATTCCAAGATGCAAACACACACCAACTCCAAGTGCTGCTCCCTCCTCACCTGTGGGAAGCAGCCAGGTACAGTTTACTAATAATAGTGACTGAACAATAACTTCATCTTACACGTGCATTTGTTGTATAAAATTCCATGCACATCTCTCACATCATGGAGATGAAGAATAGTGCAAGTAAGACCCCACACACACCTTGATTTTATAAAATAAAAAATTATCTGTAGAATGTTCGGAAGAGCATCCGATCAGCACCAGCCCCATGGCTTGATGCTAAGTCACTCAAGAACAGAACTTTAGGGGCAGAGATGCGGATCAGCCAGTAAAGGTGGTTGGCACTAAGTCATATGACCCGAGTTTGCTCTTCAGGATCCAGGGGGTAGAGGAAAGAACTCTTGCAAGCTATCCTCTGACTTCACACACACACACACACACACACACACACACACACACACACGCACACCACAAATGTAACAAAACTGTTTTAAATTACAAAACATTAGTTTATTCCTGAGAACATGTCACAATAGCGATCTAAGAACAAGGTGCCAAAGAGCTGTGTTAATGAGAATTGTCACTAAAACACTATTTTAAACAACAGTGGAAAACTAAGTCTCAGAGAAAACGTGACTAGAAAATATTTAATTATTTCCCTAAGGGCACAGAGGGAATTTCTGTCTTCAGAACTGGATCCAGATAAGATTAATTTCCCCATTGAAAACCATCTCTAAGAGCTGCATGTGGGACTCCAGAGATGTTTTGGTGGTTAAGCACTTACCATGCAAGGGAGAGAACAGGCATGTGAGTGCCCAGCATTCACATAATGCTGGCTGGGCATGGTGGCCCACCTGTAACCCAGCTCTCTTGGGAGGCAGAAACAGGGCATCCCGAGACAAGCTGGACAGCTAGACCAACAGAATAAAGTCTGCTGGCTTCTTCAAGAGGCTCCTCCTCAGTAAGCAAAAATGCAGAGTGATTAAGAAAGATGCCAGGAATCAACCACATGTTCATATGCACCCACAAAGATGTGCATTCTTGAGTAGACAACACACACACATAGACACCCTTTTTTAAAAAGCAAAATAAGTAATTTCCAATCTAACCGAGGCAGTTTGTGGAACAATGGAAGGACTTTCTCTTTTTTTCACTTTTTTTAATTTTTTATTTTAGTTTATTAATTACAGTTTATTCACTTTGTACCCTACCTATAGCCCCCTGCCTCTTCCCCCCGCCCCTCCCAGTCCCACCCTCTTTCACTCTTCTTCTCCTGTGCCCCTCCCCCAGTCCAATGATAGGGGAGATCCTCCTCCCCTTCCATCTGACCCTAGTCTATCAGGTCTCATCAAGACTGGCTTCTTTTTCTTCGTCTGTGGACTGGTAAGGCTGCTGAGAAAGGGCTTTCTTAAAGATGGACAAAAGACAAAGGGACCCAGAGTTCGGTCTCTTGGTCACTGTGCCAACACTGCTGTCCTGCTCCTCAGACATAGTGTCCTCCTGGCACCGCCATCTTGAATCAATCTTCATTCAAAAGGCAAATGGGACGGACATCAGAAGAGGGAGAAAACAGGAAACAGGACAGGAGCCTATCATAGAGGGTGTCTGAAAGACTCTAGCAGGATATCAAAACATATGCTGAGACTCATAGCCAAACTTTGGGCAGAGTGCAGGGAATCTTATGAAAGAAGGGGGAGATAGAAAGACCTGGAGGGGACAAGAGCTCCATAAGGAGAGCAACAGAACCAAACAATCTGGGCACAGGGGTCTTTTCTGAGACTGATAATCCAACCAAGGGCCATGCATGGAGATAACCTAGAACCCCTACACCAGAGTAGCCCAAGGAAGTTCAGTGTCCAAGAGAGTTCCCCAGTAATAGGAACAGGGACTGTCTCTGACATGAACTGATTGGCCTGCTCTTTGATCACCTCCCTCTGAGGAGGGAGCAGCCTTACCAGGCCACAGAGGAAGACAAAAAAGCCACTCCTGATGAGACCTGATAGACTAGAGTCATATGGAAGGAGAGGTCTTCCTTGGACTGGAGGGGCATAGGAGGAGAAAAGGGAGGGAGGGAGGGAGGATGGAATAAGAAGAGGGAGGGAGGGGGCCGGAAGTGCCGCTCCCGGGTGGGGGCTGTTCATGGCGGTTTCGGGGTCCCCAACAGTTTCTCAAGTTGAGATCCAAAAGCCTCCCGAAGCGGGGTCATCGGAGCTTGAGGTTTTTGCTGGTGTGAAATGACTGAGTACAAACTGGTGGTGGTTGGAGCAGGTGGTGTTGGGAAAAGTGTTTTGACAATCCAGCTAATCCAGAACCACTTTGTGGATGAATATGATCCCACCATAGAGGATTCTTACCGAAAACAAGTGGTAATTGATGGTGAGACCTGTCTGTTGGATATACTGGACACAGCTGGACAAGAGGAGTACAGTGCCATGAGAGACCAGTACATGAGGACAGGAGAAGGATTCCTCTGCGTGTTTGCTATCAATAATAGCAAATTGTTTGCAGATATTAATCTTTACAGGGAGCAGATTAAGCGGCTGAAAGACTCTGATGATGTTCCTATGGTGCTGGTGGGGAACAAGTGTGACCTGCCAACAAGGACAGTTGACACAAAGCAAACCCATGAGTTGGCCAAAAGTTATGGAATCCCATTCATTGAAACCTCAGCCAAGACCAGACAGGGTATGGAAGATGCCTTTTACACACTAGTAAGGGAGATACGCCAGTACCGAATGAAGAAGCTCAACAGCAATGATGATGGCACTCAAGGTTGTATGGGGTTGCCCTGTGTGGTGATGTAATAAAGACTATTTGAAAGTTCTGTCAACAGAAAAGAGCCACTTTCAAGCTGCACTGATGCCCTGGTTCTGACATCCCTGGAGGAGACATGTCCCTGCCGCTCTCTGCATCTCAGAAGAGCTACTGCTTCCTGCTTCTCTGACTCCGTAGATGAGCACAGCCATCTAACCTGAAACCTCTTCAGAATAACTACCTCCTCACTCGGCTGCCCAATCAGAGAAATGCACCTGTTACTCCCTAGTAGTTTTCTGACCTGGATTCTCTCCCTAGAAACAAACACACCTGCCAGCTGACTTTGTCCTCTGAAAGCAGTTTACACTCTCATAGAGAGAACCAAACTGTAGACATGCAATTCTCTCTCTCTCTCTCTCTCTCTTTTGTTTGTTTGTTTGTTTTTATGTTTTGTTTTGTTTTTAGAGACAGGGTTTCTCTTTGTAGCCTTGGCTGTTCTGGACTTGCTTTGTAGACCAGGCTGACCTTGAACTCACAGAGATCCTCCTGCTTCTTGTCTCCCTGAGTGCTGGGATTACAGGCCTGTGCCACTGTGCCCAGCTACATGCAAATCTGTTGACAACAGTTTCTTGTCTAAGGTGGTAACTGCTGGTGATCTCTCCCCAACCCCCACTATCCCGCATTGAACTTGGCCTTGTTAGTTCTGGGGGAGATGTCATAAATTCATTTTGCTGATTGGTTGAATATTGCTGATTATGATCAGCTATATTCTATAAACTGGCATCTACTCTGTTTTCATAAATGCAAACATGAATACTGACTTGAGTCCATCCAAGTCTTCTCAACTGCATGAAATTAAATCCAACTTTGACAACAAAGTGCCTTTCTCCTATAAATGGTCTGTAGGCTTCCCTTACAGTTTGTAAGTGGAATAGTTGTTTCAAGAACCATGATATTGGAAAGTGACTGAGCCATCTACCTTTGAGGGAAAGGTGTATCTACCTGTAAGGCAGTTGTTTGAAGCTTCATACATTGGAGAGTATGAAGTGTTGTGTTTTAGAGTTCTGATGCCGAAGCTTGTAAACCTGCGAAATGCTGTGTGATCTGGTATTCAGAGTGTGTGCGCTGGTGTTCCCGTAGGAGTGCCATGTGTAAGGTGGCACCTGTAGAATCGGCCTTTAAACTGCTGTGAACTTTTTCATGACTTGAACATGAATATAGACAAAAAAAAAAACTTTATAAGGACAGTTGTTTGTTTTCCCCATTCCAGAATGTGTGAGCTCAGTCCCATCTTCCCTTGTATTTAGTTATAAACTCTCAAGCTGGCAGCTATGAGCACGGATCAGAAAATGGTGCATTCCACCTCCTGTAATTATCTCTGCTAATTGCGAGAAACATAGTTAATGATGGAAACCATTTTGCCTGGGTGGTTTCTATTAAAAAGAGAGCTAATGATTGTTTAACATTAGTTTTTATTTTGCTGTTTCTTTAAGCTGATGTGCCACAAAATTATTTTAAGGTATTCGTTTTTTATAAGAATTGTTTTAAGAGTGTTCTCATGAGATTAGTTATATATATATATATATATATATTTTTTTTTTTAAATACAGCTGGTTTTTAAAAGTCTGAGTACTGCACTAAGCAAGTATTTGAACTCTGGAGAGATGGGAGATGGTAGGCGTTGTATGACTTTTGTATTTCCATGCCGTCAAATATAGGTCAGAATGTCAACTGTGCAATCCTGCTGTTTAAATGAGAACTGTTGGCCTTGGTGGCCCTAGGTGAAAGGACTGACATTTTAGGTTGACTGTTTTATTGTAAATTAATCTATTCTAACTTTTAAAAACTTGATTGACTGTTTTCCTTGTTAAATAATTTTTAAAAATAAAAAACTGGAAGTTCTTTGCTTAAAAAAAGAAGAAGAAGAAGAGGGAGGGAGCGAGAGTAAGATTGGGAGGGGAGGGGGCTACAGCTGAGATACAAATTGAATAAACTGTAATTAATAAAAATAATTTTTTAAAAGACAAAGGGAAAGAAAACGTTCTTCCCAGTATCCTCCACTAACAAGATAATGAGGATTGGCAGACTAGGATCCAGTAAAGGGCTCGGACCCTGAGGGCTATGACTACTGCTGAAGGTTCTTCATGTCTTAAGATATAGTCTAATCAGGAGAGGTTAACGAGATGACAGAGCTGTGCTTCGGAAGTGTGCAAACAATAAAAGAGAATTCTTACCTGGTATCTTCACCATGAATCATTTTACTCGGTGATGGGGCAAAACACCTGACAAAAGCCGCTTCAGGAAGGAAGGCGGGTGAAGTGGCTCACCCTCTCCTAGCAGCTATCCCCTGCACATGGAGCTCCACATCACTGTGCAGCCACACATGCACGCATGTACATATACACATATACACACATGTATACACATACAGACATACACTCTCCTACATGCACACACACACATGCCGTACCAGGTTGAGGATGGGACTGCATGTGCACCTTCCCTCTCCATGCTGGGAGTCAGTCCGGCTTGAGCCTGCACAGGTCATCACCAGGGTTCACCGTGACTGGAGGACACTGCTGCCTTTATTCATGCACTGCCTGAAGCTCTGTCATTCTCAGCACCTTTTCCCTCAGCTGTCTCTGAAGAGGGAAGAGGGATGGCATAAATGAGCCGTGTAGGGCTAAAGCTTTCATAATCTCTTATTCTCTGCACCTTGGCCAGTTGTGGGTCTTCGTGTTAATCACCACCGGCTGTAAACGGAAGCTTCTCTGGTAAGGGATGAAAGGTGTACTCCCCTATGGGATAATGGAACCTAATTAGTACTGTGCCCACTAGAGATTGCTCATTTTAATGAGAAATGCTTTGGTTTAGGATTTCAAAAGTGGTACAAATGCTTGAATTTAGAGGCTTAAAGATCCAGCTGCTCTCCTACCACCGCGATCTAAAATACATACATTTTGGTACAAAGTGGCTGATAATAGCTTCATGTTATTCTTTTTTTGCTCCAAAATAGGGGATGAAGTAGAAACAACAAAATATCTAAAAATTAAACCAAATCACTAGTGAGAATATGTATTTCCACTATATTCATGTTCTACTGACGCCAGGAGACCTTAACTACCTTGCCTGTGTCACAGAAATCAAGTGGTAAAAGTAATAATCAGGCCCAGACAATGGAGTTGCAGCACTGTGCATAAACCACCACTTAAAAGTGTTCACAAGCTAGGTAAAAACAAGAAATAAGAGTCCTAAGACAGGGACAGAATTGCTAACAATTCTGACCACCATTTCTTACCAAAGCATTCAATTGAGCTCATTTCCTATAACAAGTCTGTGTCAACCTGAAAAGAGCACTTAGTGAAAACCGTTGTCTTCTTTTCCTCCTTCATGAGGGTCATTAAATCCCAGAGACAATGATGGCTTAATTAAAAGGCAATTATGGTACAGGAATGTTTCATCTGGGAGAGCTAAGCCCTGCTCATTAGAACACCCCAGGTGGGGCCAGCCAGGTGCCCACTGATGGATATTGGAAGGAGTCCCTGTTGGGGGCTGTAATTCTTGGAATTGAAAATGTGTGCTAGACCTCCCCATGCCAGTAGCTGAAGCACTGGGAAGCTGTCGGCAGTGTGTCGACAGCAACACAGCAATGCCACCCTCACAGCTGACTGTTATGCCCAATTCCACAAGGAAGTTACAGGCACTCTGCTAAGAGATTCAGTCCGTCCGCCCTTAATTCTCCCTTCACTGGAACATATTTACTAGACGCCCTAAGCAGCCAGGGCTACAAGTGCCACCTCCCATATGGTGGCCCTTTTCTCCTCTTTCCACCAAGGAGTCAGAGACACCATCACTATGTGGGCAACTCACTGAATTCACAGGATGAGTCTGCACACTGCCTTGCAGGACTGGACCCTCCTCAGGGCCCCAGCCATGCTGCTGCCTGTCTGTGACATTGGAAACACTTCTGCTAAACCTCTTACTCAAAAAGGCAAGTGGCATTAGCATCCCTGAAAAATATAAGACCATACACTGAGCATACTCAGTTGAAGAGTACATTCCTAAGCATGCTGAGTCTGAAGTCAGACCTTAAAAGAGAGTAGTCACACACAAAAGAGAGAGAGTAAACACATTTTTTGGTGCACTTATCCCAAGTTTTGGTTGTATGTGTAAAAAAATGAAAGTGATGAGCAAAAATGCCTCTGGGCATGCTTATCTTGCACTAGAAAGATTTAGCTGAAAGGAAAGGGAAGGATACTTTGAAGGTGCATTAACACGGGAGTCTGTGCCTGAGGGTCCTCGCCTCATTCAGCCTCTAACTGAAGCAGGCTGGGGTCTGAGCAAACAACAATGAAAAGGGTACCTACCACAGAGGAGTCCCAGCCCAGAGGAGAGGCAGCAGAAATATTTTTCACATGCCTTTGTGAGCATGGTGGAGGATAGCACAGAGAACTGGCCTTGAATTTACCTGGGGGACCAGGATGCCAGGCCCAGCTCTGGAGGTGAGTGTGATACCACCTGCCTCAGAGAAAAGCTGTGAAGATCGTGGCGCCCCAGAAACATCACCAACAATGCCAAGCCGGTGCAGTAGATGGACACTGTTGTTGTGGCTCTTTTGTTCCTCTTGATGTGGCACAGTCAAATAGTTTAGAGCTCAAAATTACTGATGTTTTTCAAGAGAAAATATGAGGTTGGAAGGAATGCACTCATAATGTTCAAAGCAGAAACATAACTAGTGTCCGCTGTCTGGATTCTGGACCATGTGTAACTTTCTTAACATTCCAGGAGAGAATGTTAAAACTCATGACTCAGAATACAGTGTGACCTAAGTGTATGATTTGAGTCAACACAAGAAATTGGATGAGCAGAAGGACAGTGAAGACTGGTAAAAAGATAAATAAGCCAAAGTACCATTGCAGAAATTATATTGACTGCTTTGTAGTTATTTCCTCCAAATCAAAACACTCTCTCCTAGAAAGAGGAAGGAGGATCATAAAACTGAAGAAGTAAGCCAAACATACAAGACACAGGAAGCAAACAAAATTTACAAGACTTAGAAAGCTCCTAAAACTTACAAGCTTCACAAAACCTTGGCTCAAGATTATAAAAGGTTTTTTGTTTTGTTTTGTTTTATTTTGTATTGTTTTGTTTTGTTTTTTACTGAAGAGGGAGACTCTGTTTCACCAAACAAATCTGCCTTATAATTGCTTGCAGAGAGTTCTGTGGATGCAGCTTTTGTGAGTTGTCACGCATATAAGAATCAGGATTTATGTAATTAAGTT